TTGAATATGTACAATCCAAATAAATTTAGTTTACAAACATGAAAATCAACACTATTCCAAATTAAGCAACACAACATCCATCCACTGACATTCATACAGTTATATCAAATAAACAAATAGTCTCATGGTAGGATGCTAAACATAGTAAGAAAGACACACACAAGTGGGATGCTAAAGTATAAAAACTTACATATTTACCAACATCTTGCGAACAACTACAAAACAAAGTTAGCAAAAATGCATGATCTTATATACAAAATCCTAATGCAATTCACACATGAGATGCAACTAAAGATTCGGCTTCTAAGATATGACATGTGAATCATCTCAAGAACAAAAGGTAGCGCACATAATTACTTAAGAATTGATTAAATCCATAAATGCAAAATTAGCCGAATCAAAATGCATAAAACATGGATGCAAAGCAAGGATATACTAAAAAAATAAGATAAACATGATGCATATCCACAAATAAGGAAAGCAAATAAAAGAATGGAATAGAAAGAAGTAGTGCGGGAAATTATTACAACACTTTGAATAAATTATTATGAGAGAGAGATGAGGGAATTTTGCAATAAAATAAAGCAAAACCTCACAAAACACTTAAAATAAAAGTAAACAAAATAAAAGCTTCATTTTCCTTGGAACCGTCGGTAAATATTGGTCAACATTGCAAGATTACACCATTTTGTCCGAAAAAAGCTAATCAACCAGCCAAATAGGCCAGCCAGCCAACTGGGTTGAGCAAAACCCGTCTTGTTGCAGAACCAAGAAAAGTAATAAACAAGAAATGTGTAGGTGGCTCAACTACCCACTACCGGTTAGCTAACAACATAACTAATATGAAACAAGAGCAAGCAAATAAGCAAAAAATAAATAAATAAATTATGGGCTAAACAAACCACTTGGATTACAACAACACACTATGAAATATAAAGTAAGAAAATAAATATGAGATAAACATACCACTTGGATTTTAACAAAACACTATGAAATAAGAAGCAAGAAAATAAAAATGAGATAAACAAACCACTTGGATTATAACAAAACACTATGAAATAAGAAGCAAGAAAATAAAAATGGGATAAACAAACCACTTGGATTATAACAAAACACTATGAAATAAAAAGTAAGAAAATAAATATGAGATAAACAAACCACTTGGATTATAACAAAACACTATGAAATATAAAGTAAGAAAATAAATTTGAGATAAACAAACCACTTAGATTATAACAAAACACTATCAAATATAAAAGTAAGAAAATAAATATGAGATAAACAAACCACTTGGATTATAATAAAACACTATGAAATAAGAAGTAAGAAAATAATTATGAGATAGAAAATATAAGAAAATGAAAAACTAGAAATTCACCTATCAAAGAAATATTGAACTTCTTGATTTCCAAACTTCCTCTTGATCACACTCAAGTTTAGGAAGTGTGTTCTCAATCCTTAATTCGAAACTAGAATGGAACTCTGGGTATGTAGGGTGGAAAAGTGGTTAACTCTCTTATTTTTCCTTATTTTCAACAACACTCACTCTTACCAAAGAGTCTTTCCTTTGATCAATCACCTTTGATCAATCACTACTGAAATTTTGCTATTTTAGAATTTTTTGAGCTGTTTTGGATGTATAGAAGGTGGAATTTCAGTGTATATAAGTCATGGAAGGTGTATATGGAAGGTGGAAGTGTTTTTGGCTCAAAACTTGAATTTTCTCCCCCTTTTCTCTCTTTTCTCACTCTTTTCTCTTCAATTTCGTGGTTCTCCCTCTCTTTTACAATCCGATCATTCTATATAGGTAATGAGGGAGAGTTAAAGTCAAAAAGAGGGTGAGAGACAAAGTGGGAGACAAGAATGTGATAGGAGATAAATTTTCAAGGTAGTTGCATGGGATACTCCTTTATGGATGCAAACAAAAACTCTTTTTGACAATGGGGGATAAGTAGGTATGTATTTGGTGATATACGGGTCGGCCAATAGGGTAAGGGAGTGTCCCACACACAACAAAAAAATGCAAAAAAATAAAACAAAAAAATAACATTCTCTACCTGCTGGTTTGGTTTGAAATGGTTAAATATTATTTGAGGGAAAATATAACATAAGGCAAAGCTTTGGCAAAGTGGTTAAGGTGCTGGCTGTTGAATAATAGGCTAGGTGTTTAAACCCCCTTCCAAGCATTCCTTTAATTTATTTTTTTGGGTAAAGACAAATTAGTGCTACATCATCAACAAAGACTAATCCAATCATGCCACGTCAACATCACAGTCAACATTTGACGAAATATTCATTGACATAATAGAATATTTCCTGAGTTTTGAAAATTACAATTTGGCCCAGAAGTTTCAAAGATTTGTGTTGTAACCCAGATTTCGGAAGAATTTTTCAATGAGGCTCCCGGAAGTGAAGCGAAGGTTGATCTTAACTAAACGAATTGTGAGGTCAGAATTTTCCCTTGGAAAGGTAATTTGTAATTGTTTAAGGTTGGAAACAGGGCTCAAATTCTAAATTTTCTTATTGAGGATTCTGTGAGAAACACCTTCTTATTTTCATCATCGGGTGATCAAAAAGAAGCGCCAAAGTCTTAGGGTCGGTCAAAATGGGGTGTCTTCACGGGGTTGTTACATTTACTAAATAAACGAGCTCGATCTCGATTTTTAGGTTCATTTATTAATCGAGCCAACCTCAAGAAGCCCTAAATTCCGCTTGACAACGCTCGTGAATATAAAAATAAATAAATTAATATTTATTTTTAATAATATATTAAATAAAATTTCAATAATCTATTTTATTTTTTTATTTATGTTTGGTGTTTATGCAAGTTTACATATTTGATTGATGAAATTTATTATTAATATAAACATTATTACATATTTTACTCATAATTTTGTATTTTTTTTATCTTAATAAGTAAATTAATGTAAATTTAATTTTTTTTCGGCTCGTTTATGTAATCGAGCATGTTCGAGCCAAACTTGAGCTCAACAAATATTTGACGAGCAGAGCTCGAGCTCGATTTTTTTAAGCTCAGCTCAAGTTTAAGTTCGACTAATTCTTAATACATAAGCTTGAACAGTTAAAAGCTCAGTACATTTCCAATCCTAGTTATATGGTATCTTCTAATTGGCTGTTGCCTAAAACTTGATTAAAAAAAAATAATAATCGTCTCTATAAATGCTCTTGACAAGGAAACTTAGGGATTGTTTGGCGGGGAATTATATGCATTTTAGTTATGATTTTTGTAGTTTTTGATTGTGACATATTATTGTATTAGTTATGACTCTTGGTTATGATATTAATTTAGTTATGATTTAAGAATTCTTTGATTATACCTTATATGATATTTGATTATAATTTTTTTTAAGTTACAACTCTCATAAAATTGAGTTATAACATTTGTGATAATAAAGTTCATAAAATGTCATAACTCATAAGCATGTATCATGACATTTCTCTTGTTTGACACGTACACCTAAAAAGTCATATATTTTTAAAATTGGATAAGTTACAAATACACCATATGAGATTTAATTAAAATACGAATCGCCCATATAGTTTTAGAAATTACATTTCACCCCTGAGGTTTCTGATTTCATAACAAATCACCATTTTTATTAAAGTTAATTAACAGTTTTTAATGATATTAAAAATATGTTTCAATTAATAAGTTATATAATTTTATTATTGTATAGGAGAGTAAATATGAATTTCATTTTTTAGTTAATTCTGTTAAATAAAAAATTCTAACAATGGGATATTTGTAATTTTTCAAAGCACAGGAGATAATCTGTACTTTAAACAAACCTCAATGAAGCATTTGTAATTTACCCTTTAAAATTATTCTACTTTCAGTGATTTTAAAAAAAAATTATATCAAGTTTTTTACTTTTTAAATTTGTCTTATGTAAAATACCGGCCCAAAACCCAAATGTGTTAGCATAAGGTCCAAAATTCAAGTCTAGCTCAGCAACCTGAAACAAAAGAGGCCCAAATCATTCATAGGTTCGACGGAAGAAGGGACAGTGTTACGTGACTAAAGCCTGAGTAAAATCGCCTTTCAGAGTGCTCATTCGGCAATGACTTTTTTAGTTGGCTTTTTGATTTTTTTGACTTTTTTAACTTGAGACTTTTTTGGTTGTTTGGTATTCTTGTTTGGTTTTTTTGGCTTTTTGGCTTTGAAATGGCATTTTTTTTCTTCTCTTTTTATGATTTTTGTCATTTTGTAATTTTTTGACTTTTTTTTTGTCATTTTGTGATTTTTTAGCTCCATGAAGAAAACTAAACGACCCCAGAATGAGATCTACGAAGTGCATGGATGCCGTTAGATTCATTCACAATCGACGGTAAAGATCACAATCGTCAGAAATAGGTGCATAGGCCTGGCCCACACAAACAAATGACCATCTGATGAACCTAATCAGATGGATGAGGCAATTGGCAGGTTGGCCCTTAGAAGCGTAACATAATCTAAGCCGCACTTAGTAAGATAATCTAACAGTAAAGGATCAAAGCAACTTGGTCACTTGCTCGGCCAAAGTCTGGAAGTAACTAGAGCTTTTAGATGAAGATGCCAATCCAACGATCAAGGCTAGAACAATAACACTATAAAATGATGAGTAACGAGAAGCAAGAGATAAAAAATGAGAAAATAGAAAATCCATTTTCATAAATAAATATTATATGGCCAATTATATTTTTAATTTGATCATCGGAGAGTCCTTCTAACCATATCTGGTCGAAAGTGATCACTTACCAATTGATTTCTCTTTGTAGAGTAAAAAAAAGGTCATCTTGTATTGCATTTTCTATGAAGAATCTTTCTACCTTCACAAGTATAAAAAATAAAAAATATTAAAAAAAAATCTTACTAGACTTTTTTTTAAAAAAATGTTTATTTGTCTAATCAAAATGTTTTTTAAAATTAAAAAAAGAAAAAAAAATTCACTACAAAAACTAAGCAGCCCCCAAACACTCACTTATTCTGTCCCTTTTGGGTGGCCTATTTTTATTCGCATCGTGTCATTTTTGCTTCATCGAGGGCCTTCTTTCTCTTCCGCTCCACTCTCGAAGCCCTACCCCTCTCTGTCTCTCTCTCTCTTCGAACCCTAAAAAAATAAAAAATAAAAACGAATATCCATATCGATCTTCTCTGTGAAATCGATATCGAAGAAGCACTGAGAAAATGCAGCATCAGAGGATGAAGCAACAGCAACAACAACAACAGGCCTTGATGCAGCAAGCAGCTCTTCTTCAACAGCAATCTATGTACCATCCTGGCCTCTTGGCTGCCCCTCAGGTTCCTCCTTTTCGTCTCTCTTTCTACAAATTCGTGGTTGATTTGATTTCGATGTATCGGTTTTGTGTTTGTTTGTTGGATCTTTGATTTTTTTTATTGGAATTTTGAGCTTTTTGTGGAGTTAGGGTTTTTGATTTTTGTCTGAGTGTTGTTTTTTTTTTTTTTTTTTTTTTTTGGATTTGTGTCGTGATGAACCTGGGGTTTAAGCAGAGTTTAGACTTTAGGAATATTGGGTCTTGGACTTCTTTGTGTTTGTTTGGGGTTGGGGGGGGGGACGGGTTGTGTGTGGAATTGGTAATGCTTCTGTGTTTTTGGACCTTGATGTTTTGAAAATTGATTCGTTGCTGCTTTTCTGGCCTTAATTGTGTTTTGTTTCAATGTCATGTGCTTTGGCTTGATGGGTAGTTGTTAATTTTGTTCCTTTTTTTTTTAAATGTGAATTTTCATGCATTTTTAGTTAGCTTGGTATTGTACTTTCTCTGGTCTTCCCACCCTTATCTGATTTGGAACCATTACCCTTTCATTTTCTCTGTTTTTTTTAGAAGTAACGACAAGGACAAACCTTGGATTAGTCTTGGGCTTTAAATGCCTTCTATGCTTGGTTAGGCTGAGAGTGCTGCTGTGATAAACAGCAAATTTATTTTAGCTTACAGTTTCAATGCATTCGAATTGCAAGAACTTGCTCATGAATGTGCAGGCTTTCGGATGCACTTTCCCAAAATCTTCCCCCAGACTATGACCTTCACGCCATGCCAATACACAAATTTTTAATCTAGAACTTATCTTCTTCATGGCAAAATGAAATAAAAACATGGTTTTGAGTATTTTGACCTTTCTTTTATCTGAATGCTGTTTTTCTACTAAAAATGTGAGTTCTAGATTTCTCTTATTTGAGAGGTCATTTTATAGTGAGCGAGCACCTTGTACAATCTCTTGTTTGTATTACACGTAATGTAACAATTTGGTCACAATTAAAAATTCTTCTTTATCAACAGAAGCTCAAAGGGGAGGGTAATTAATATTATCATGATTTATTTGAAAGATGAAGCCTATTTTTTTTAGTATGTTCTTTGTGTTCAAGTAAAATGTGAAATGGAATTGAACAACTAAATCATATCTAATAATACTCTTTTGTGGGTAAGGTTTTTTTGAGTTTTGTGCCTTGCTTAGATTGCATTTCATATATTTTAGATAAGGTCGTATCTGATATTCTACAGTTTCATGCCTTGTGAATTATGACTTCCGTTGGTATTTTATAGGTTTTGGATAAGCTGAAAACTAAAGTTGCTGAAGTTAAAATTGACAAGATGGTTATTAGGAAATAATTATTCTTGTAGGTTGTTGGTGAGATACAATTTGATTTTTTTTTAGTGCCTTTATTTAATTTGGATTGATTTAGGTCTCTTGCTTCATGTTGGTGGGTGGTAAAGTTTGGTTGGGGATGTCATCTGAAAATAGCTTTGTTGTTCCTATCATTTTGGGGTTTTATTTTGTTCCTTTTTTTTTCTTTTCTTTTCCTTTTTTTTTTCACTTTTTTATTTTGCAGATTGAGCCTATCCCAAGCGGAAATCTGCCTCCTGGGTTTGATCCAAGTACATGCCGCAGTGTGTGAGTGTTGTCCAGACATTTTTTTTCTTCTATTTTTCTTTTATTCTTTTATTGCATGTTTGTTGTCTCACCATTATGCCCTAGTCACAATCTTTGCTAGATATGAAATTTTGTTTCAGTCTTTTTTGTTTTCTTTGTCTTTTGGACTTGTTTTATTTCTTTATTTCCCCCCTTTATTTTTATAAATTCCAAAAATATCAGATCAATATTTATACAACATAAATTATGTGATGCGTACTTTTTAGATTTCAACAACCGGAGGAGTTTCTTATTGCTGAATTTATTTTCTTTGTTTTCTTCTTTTTTAAAACTTGTAGTTTCTTTACTTTTGAGAAAATGCAGGTATGTGGGAAACATTCATACACAGGTGACAGAACCCCTCATTCAAGAGGTTTTTTCAAGTACTGGACCTGTGGAGGGCTGCAAGCTCATTAGAAAGGAGAAGGTATTGTTATACCTGTAGTTTTGTGTTTTACAATACTGTGGCAAGGCTCAGTGGGCAAAGATGATGTGCTTTATCTTGTTTGGTTAACTATATATTTTTTTTATAAAAACTTTGATACCTTCTTCTAATTTTGAGGTTGACATTTCTGTTGTTTCTCTTAAATGCAGTCATCATATGGATTCATTCATTACTTCGATCGTAGATCTGCTGCGCTTGCTATACTGTCTCTTAACGGAAGGCACCTGTAAGTAGAATTCTTAGTGGTTCATTATCTTCTGTCTTGCTTCTGCCCTTGTATTTTATTCTGTTTTTTAATTTATTTGCAGGTTTGGGCAGCCTATCAAAGTTAATTGGGCATATGCCAGTGGTCAGAGGGAAGACACATCAAGTGGGTCCACTTTGTCAATATTTAAATTCTTTAGCATTTAATCTTAGTGGTGTTTTATGATTTTTACTTAAAAGGTATTTTATGATATTGTTACCTTGTTATGCAGGTCACTATAACATATTTGTTGGTGATCTCAGCCCTGAGGTTACTGATGCTATGCTGTTTGCATGTTTTTCTGTGTATCCTAGTTGTTCGTAAGTTTCTATGCTTTGATTAATTCTTCCTTTTTAAAAAATCAAAAATTGGTTAAATTTATCGTCTTAACTGGAACAGATTGCCAGATACATTGTTTCGTGAACTTCAGTGATTGTGTAATTGTTCTGTATTTGTTAAATAGGTATCAGTATGGGTGGATTAATTTTTCCTTGTGTGCTGTTTTCCAGTGATGCAAGAGTTATGTGGGATCAGAAGACTGGGCGGTCAAGAGGGTTTGGATTTGTTTCTTTCCGGAATCAACAGGTGATTTTTTTGTGTTTGACATCTGCTGACGATTTGAGCTTTCAGTTTTGTGTACTGAACTAATTTCTCATTATCTCTTTACCTTATTTATCTGTACAGGATGCTCAAAGTGCGATAAATGACTTGACTGGTATGAATGATTTAAATTACTTTGCATTTGCTTTATTCACGTTATATCTTTATCTTAGCTGTTCGATGTTTATTTCAGTTTGAACATGCATTGGATCATTTTTACTAGTATTGCCACAAAAAAATTCTGGCTAACTGAAGAAGTTTAAGCATTTACTTTCATTAAATGTAATCATCACTTAGTTAACTAATTATCCACACAAGTATCTAAGCAGATGAAAAATCGTGATTGCCATTGTCATGTGTGATAATTTTGTTTGAATTCTGATGCTTGTTCTATATGACAACAACTTGCACTGGTTCTGATTTCGTTGTTCAGGAAAGTGGCTTGGTAGTAGACAGATACGTTGTAACTGGGCTACAAAAGGTGCTGGAACTAATGATGACAACAAGAGCTCTGATGCGAAAAGTGTGGTGGAATTAACAAATGGATCTTCAGGTGAGTCAAGAAGGAAGAACCTTAAATGATAAGAATTTTCTGAAGATATTCTGGGATATAATATAATATTGTATAGCTTTTTTCCTGAAGTTTGTTTCAAATGTTGTTGTGTCATGCTATCTTTTTATTCTGACTGGGTTAACAACTTCCTTTGTTCTTCTGACATCATTACACATATAGTTTAATCATCATATGATTCCTATGGAGTGAGATTTGTTTTTAACTTTTTGATTAGTTATCAATGAAAAATTATTTTCTGGTTCATTTCTTTGGATGGTCTAATGTTTTCCTGTTTACCTGTATCCATTGATGATATAGTTCTAGATGTGCGTGTATTGTAAAAATTTATGATGTCGGCATTGTCCAACTTTTCAATGAGCATCAATGTGCTTACGTTTGCACCCTTTTTTTTTCTTTTTTGGTTTTTGGTTTTTGCAGAGGATGGTAAAGAGACAGCCAACAATGATGGGCCTGAGAATAACCCACAATACACCACTGTTTATGTTGGCAATCTTGCTCCAGAGGCAAGAAAACATTCTTTCTCTTCTATTATAATTTTCCTCCACCTTTATCCATCTTCCATAGTCGCGGAGAGCTTGTTGAAGTCCATTTTGGGACTGACGTCAGGTGGACTCTTTCACAAGCAACATATTACTCATAGCTTGTGGAATGAATCCATATTTTATTTATTTATTTCTTTTCCCTATTTGGAAAAGGGACCTAGAATGCCAGAGCTTTTACTATTATGAAATGCCTGTGTGTATATTCTGTTTGCTTGACTGTTCGTATAATCTGCATTGCAGGTCACTCAGCTTGATTTACATCGCCACTTCCATACTCTTGGTGCTGGAGTAATTGAGGAAGTTCGTATCCAACGTGATAAGGGCTTTGGTTTTGTGAGATACAGTACCCATGCTGAGGCAGCTCTGGCCATTCAGATGGGAAATACCCAGTCTATTCTCTATGGCAAGCAAATCAAGGTATGCCTCAGCGCCCATTTATGGAAAGCTGCTTTCATGGAAAGCCAATTTGCTTTGCCAAATTTTGAAGTTATATTGCTCTGATTTTGACACGTTTGTTAGTTTTAGTCTAATAGTTAATTGCCAGCTTACAAATTTTAGTTGCTTCTTTTGCTAGGAGGTATTTTTTATGTAGGATAAGTCTGCTTTGGCCATCCAAAGAATGAATTTACAAATAAATTAAATTCCCTTTTTTTTCTTTTCTTTTTCTGGTTTGCATTTCTATGGTTTGAAATTCATATTCTTAGAAATCCTGAAGAAAACAGAACATTTCCAATACATGTTAAATGTACCTTCGCATTTTGTAAAGTGATTTGGGTTGGTAAGGAGAGGCATTGATTAGAATGATTTTCTATGGTTTTGTATTAAGCATAGAAAAGATTTGATTTAGGATTTGCATAGGACCTGGATTTGATTTTAGCATTGAAAAGATTAAATTGTTGATGTTTATTGCACTTTTCTTTTTTTTCTTTTTTTTTTTGGCGCTTGTAGTTCTCTAAATCATGTTGGTTTGACTGGTCAATGTCATTTATGCTTGTAGTGCTCATGGGGTAGCAAGCCAACTCCACCGGGAACAAATTCAAACCCACTTCCTCCACCTGCAGCTGCACCTACTCTGCCAGGTCTTTCAGCCACTGATCTTTTGGCCTATGAGCGGCACCTGGCAATGACCAAGATGGGTGGGGTTCACACCCTTATGCACCCCCAGGGGCAACATCCTCTTAAGCAGCCGGCTATGGGAATGGGTGCTGCTGGAGCTAGCCAAGCGATTTACGATGGTGGCTTCCAGAGTGTTGCTGCTGCCCAGCAGCTCATGTACTACCAGTGATATAATAAGATAAGATTAGAGCTTTGTGGGTGAAATGGAACCCTAATTTTCTTGCCTTTGCAGGGTCTTATTTGAGATTTCAAACTTTTTAAGGAGTTTTTTTATGATGTTTCACTTCTTTTCTCTCGAGTTTGTGGGGGTGTTGCCAACCAATTATATGCTTACTACCATATTGATAAATATCATGTATGTTTTGCTCTCTTCTGTTATTATATGTAGGAATGAGTGGTTAGTATTATTGCAAGTTTGATTGTTTAGCGCTTATTGGTGTTTGGTTTACTTAATAATGATTTTGGTAAATTACGAGTTGAATTGCCTTTAAATATTTTTGTGTCCTTTTTGTTCTTTGAATCGGACTCTAAATTATGGGCAATGATATGTTTTGATAGCATACTCCACTATCATTGATACAGAAGTTTCCGCGTGGATGGGTGCTTTTGTAAGCCACATTAAAAATGTGAAAGAAAATGGTTAACATAGCTTTTGTTAATGAATTATTAGATATTTTTGCGATGTGGTCCAATCATATGTCTTATTGCAGTCTACTTCACTTGACCTGACTCAAGCCTAGACCCAAAGGACTGGTCCAAAATGAAAATATAATGAAGTTACATTTTTGTCCTTTTCCAAATTGAAGTTGCAATTAAACCAATGCTTGTTTTGACATAAAATGCTTCAGTATTTTATATATTTTTCATTGCTTGGTTAAACAAAAAATAAGGAACATTAAAAAGAAAAAGTATTTTTCGTCATAATTCTCAAAATGATTATATCATTAAAAAGTCTGCAAGTTAATTTTGAAGTTCACTTCTAGTTCAATTCTTTGAGCATATTGATTTTTTAAAGGTGGAAGTCCCTTTTTGTGTAAAAATTAATTTGGATGAAAAATAAAATGAATCTGAAGAAAATTATTCACTAATATTTAAATATATATTCAAACATAGGAGGATTTCAGAGGTAGCAGAAGAAGGAAAGGGGGGCAGTCGGCTGTGGGTTGGGAGAGAAAAAGAAGTTATTTAGTGGTTGTAGAATATGATCATATGGTGACTCAATTGTGTGGTGACTCAATTGTGTTGTGATTGATGAAATGGATGAAGTATATGATTTTGTGTTGGATGACAAGTAAAACAACATATTGATTGTTGAGGAACATTGCTACGTGGCATCTCTAGACCACCAAATAATTTTTCATGAAAAAGAGAGAAGGGGTTGGAGGGATTATCCGGATTACCACAAAGGGAGCATCTTAGTTAGTAAGGGTGTTTGTTCCTCTCCTTATTGACTAGGATTCAAATTCTCTACTACTCAATTTGAAATCCAACTATTTAAGTAAATCAGTTAATTTCTCCCAATTTGACTTGTAAAGATGGATTCTAAGAGTTCTGTCTCAGGAATATTTTGGGCATAAAAAAATAAAAGATTGAAGGGATTGGTAGGCTACGGGCAGTGGGAGAGAGAGAGGTAGTGATTGTAGCCCGTTTAGAAACCCAAGAAGAGACAAAAAGGTAATTCAAATAGTAATGCCTCTTGGTCTTAATTTAAAGCCTCGTTCCCTCTCTCCCAAGTCAAAATCTATCCTGCAAAAAAATAAGGCTCAAATGATATATATTAATGTGTTTGAAAAGAAAAAAGATTTAATACATACCTAACTTTTGACACAGTATACACCCGAGACTTGAACCCACAACCTCAAGATTATTAAGCTAAGAAAATCTATCAATATATCATTTCTCAACAATAGAAACCCGAGAAAAAAATAGAGCAATGCTACATGTACACTATTACTAGAAGTACATGTTGCCAGACATTATTGGGTGTCCAAAAGAGTAACCCAAGAAGATGAGAAAAAAATTTAACTTGAAAATAAAAAAATAGTAATATTCAGGGTACAAAAATGATTGTTCGCTGAAACTGGTCCACAAAGCCATCATCAACCTGTATGAATAAACCCTTCAACATATTAGCAAAAGAAAAGAAAGCCATCATCAACCTCCATGAATAAACCCTTCAACATATTAGCAAAAGAAAAGAAGAAGAAGAACACGTAGAAAATTACAAGTAGCATAGTAAAATCTCAGTCTGATTGTAACCGGGAAATATAGTTGTCATAGAACTTTGCAGCACGCTCAAGATCTCCGAGCTCAGTATAACAATCAGCTATTGCTCCATAAGCTTCTGTATTCCCAGAATCCTCTCCCTCTCGTTCTGAGATTGCCAAAACCATGGAATGGTATTTAATAGCTTCTCGGTATTTACCCTGCCTTTGCAGTGAGGCTCCTGCAAGACAAATATTTCCCAATTCACAAGAGAAAAATAGTTTTAACTATGCATTCTATAGAAACAAAAAATACATTTCCATTGGTGGATAGTTATGTGAGCAATTATTTAATACAGTTCCAACACATACAAGCAACATTTATGATCAATAGCTAGCATGTAGTTTGCTAAGCAGCTCAAGTTTACAATGATCAGTTCTAAAATATTCAAAAAGAAAGAAGGGTACTAAATACATGTGGTTGTCATGCACTTGAATGGGCATTGCAGAATTATTTTTTCATAATTGCTGTTCCATCATCTTTTCCATTTCTATTTAAGTTTCTACTCTTCTAAAAATGGGGATTAGCTTAAAAGAGCAAGTGTAGTCAGACAATAGACCAGTTAGTATATCTACTTTGGCCTTGTCTGCAATTTCTTTACCATGTTTTCTGTCTATGGCGGTATAGCCGCCTTTGTGTCTCTTGTTTTCTATCTATACATCCAAAGTCTATCTAAAATTTTATTTGTAAAGCTTAAAATAATAATAATAATTAAAAGAAAAAGAAAAGTTATCATTTCATTTCCAAATTCACCAATGAATTTCTCATGCTTTGACAGAATATTGTTACTTTAAAATGTCGAAGCTCCTCAAGTTGACTCCATGAGATGGCAATTCAATAATACTAAAATTACAAGGAAATTGACAATACATGTTAGCATGCTAATAAAAAAGTTCAGCAAGTTAGCAGATGAATAAGAAGAGTAATAGCTGCATTGGTCACGTGCCAGATGCTGATACCCAATCGATGTTCCTCAACATTCATGGAACATTTTTTTTTTCCAAGTCCTCAACATTAATGGAACATATCCTAGCCGTGTCTACAGTTTGAAAAAATTCCTTCATTTTGGAGACATAATTCTTCTAGGGCACTCCAAATTGTCCAACAAGATTGGCTTCTTTTTTGGTTGTCATCACAGTTCTTCAGTGTATACACAGTCCGGCTAACCAAGGAAAGAACAAAAATACGTACTACATTTGTGAGGATATTTGTTTTGCTATTTGTTTTGCATTTATGTAAAACTATCATAATTCAGACCAGCTTTATAAGTAAAGTTCAGAAATATAATGCAGGTTACAGGAGGAAAATGGAGAAGAGTTGGGGTTCATATTTGTTCATGTATTGCATATTCTGTGTGAAAACCATGAACACAGAGTCCAAGTCCTAGTTTTAAAATATTCACCGGATCAATGTCCTACATACATGTATAAAAAGTGGTCACTGAATTGAAGCATCTGGATTGTGTCAATTCCATATGTACCAAACTTAATTTTCGATAAAACCAAAAACCCAATAATTTTTTAAAATCGGACATCATGGCATATCCTACCTCTTTTCAGATAAGTTTCATGACTCCTTAAAAAAAAAAAACAATAATTGAGCGTAGATGAAAGGCCAAAAAAGAGGAGATAGGAACAGACAACCAACCTAAGCCTCTAGCTGCCTTCTTTTCCTCAATCGGATCCCCAAGACTCTGAGCAAGTTCAAGAGCAGCCTTAAACTCCACAAATGCCTTCTCTGGATCTTGATTCCTCAGAAAATTCTTTCCAGATTTCAAATGGGAAATCAATTCATGCTTCCTTGGATCAACAATTACTTCATTTTCTTGTATTCTACCACCAACAGGAGCATAACTCAGAGTGGGGGCATAAGACTCAATCTTTGCTTGCCTTCTTAGTGCTGCATTGATCTGGCGCAACTGCTCATTCAGCCGTTCCAATTCTCCTCTCCTCTGTCTTGCAAGCAGTCCTGTAATAAATAAATTACAATAACAATGAATTCAAATAATGTGGAAACTAGCTGGGAGCTAAAATCTGTAGATGTTATATCCTTTTTCAAATGGGTAACGGAAAAAGACATGATCCAAGATGGTAGGCTCATTTTGGGCTCATGAACTTGAGTTTCTGTTGTGGACTTATGTAGGAAAGGGAAAGTCTTTATTATAGTTGAGCTTGCACTAAAAAATGCTCCCCAAAGTCTTATGATAAGGATAGCAGACTTTATTTTCAAATTAAATTCTCTTTACGTAGTCCAAGAGACTTGTGAATTGGGCTCTGATGCACACAGGCAAGCCCAACAATCCGAGGATCAAAAAAGAATTTGTCAAACCTTGGACCAAAACTGAGCTTAGAAAGGCTAGAGTTTAAGACCTGGACTGTGGAGCATGCTAAATTCACACCTCATGAGACTTGCTTAAAAAAGGTACTTAAATATGCAGTCCAATAAGAATGAATTATGTAAGCTAGTGAATGTAAAGGAGGTAAAGATAAAGATTGTAATGCTACTTATTCATTTTTTCCTCCCCCTTGTAAGTACATGTAAACACTACAACCACATACATAATCTAGCTTCACAAGTCATTTGCATGTAAGAGAGGGACAAAACTGATGATTACCATAGCTTCAAATTGCCTTACCTCCAACTGTGGCCCCTACAAGGGCTACAAATAGCAGTAAGGGCATGTCGAAAACAGATCTATCAGCCTCACATGTTTCTGCCAGAGCTTCAAAAGGCATACTCAACATCAAGGCATTAGTGACAATAAGTGCCACGGCTGGGGATCTTACAGGAGCCATCACCTGCCAAAATAAGGAATTCCAAAGGAATTCATTGACAGTGACATTATAAATGTAATCAGCACCACAGAGGGCCCTGAATCATCACAAATACATTGCAACTGAAACATAAGTATACTCGAGTACATGCATGTTTCCATTATTGTTCACATCTGAAATGATGATTATAAGAGTTTTAAAAACCCAAAACCAAAACAACGTGTTCAAACAGGGAGGAATGAAGAGTGCAGCCAAAGAATATGTCATATGCAACAAAATCTGTTGACATGGATGTTTAAAGGCACATACATTGAGTGAATGGAGTTCTCGACAATTAATAATTAATATGGGCTTTGTTTACCCACTTTTAAGCAAGCAAATACAAAATGTGGGATGACTCACCATCATACCTGAGCAACTAAGTCTTCCAGAGTGGTGTCATAATCTACTTGTGCATGGACAGTATCACAAGTTCCTTCTGATACAGAGGTGTTGACATCATTTACTCCTGTAAGCATAGACCGACTGCCTAGCAGTGGCTGACGAGCCTCAAATTCTTCAATAGAAGCCTCTCCAAAGGATGACAAGAACTTCTTTACTTTAAAAGGAATAGAAGCCAACTTACCTGGAAAACGTGTTTTATCTTCAGGGTTCAGAGACATGCTTTGATGTCTTAGCCACACTAATATAAAGTTATCAAGAACTGGTTTTACATCAATTGTAAAGGGTGCCTGGCATAGTATAGGCTACATAGAGTCTCATACTAAAAACTGTAAAACATATTGGGAGTGAACAAGTAACTTGGGTTTGACAGCTTGTTCAATACACAATATCAGCAAGAACTTATACACTAAACTTAATCAATTACGAAAATAACAAGTGCAGCTGTGATGTGATTTGTAGCAAAAAATGTAGAATAAAATGCAATAAATCGTTCACTAGGGGTACTTTCTCCAAAATGTTACATCCATTTTGTTGTTGTACAATGCCACTGCCAGATCCAGTCAGTGATGCACATCCTCTTCTACTATTCTAGTCCATTAAAGCCTTACCTTATAGGAGAATTGACTTGAAAAATTTTCCTCGTCACAAGCTCTCCATTCTTTTTTTTCATGATATGTCTAAACCATTTTAATTATCTCACCTGACATATAGTGAAAAAAGTTAAATGGAATAAAGGAACACGCCAAGTGCATTCCTTTTTCTTTTTTTTTTGATAAATACATCTTCTTTTTTTTTTTTCTTTTCAAAATCAGTAACACTCCAAGTTCTTCCTTATAATCCTCTAGTTGGAAAGGTATACAAAATTAAGTCTCATAACCAAATGCCTAAAAACTAAATATAATAAAATGCATAGGTAGAATTCAAAAAGTGTCAGTAGATATTAAAATGATGCACATCCTCTTCTACTATTCTAGTCCATTAAAGCCTTACCTTATAGGAGAATTGACTTGAAAAATTTTCCTCGTCACAAGCTCTCCATTCTTTTTTTTCATGATATGTCTAAACCATTTTAATTATCTCACCTGACATATAGTGAAAAAAGTTAAATGGAATAAAGGAACACGCCAAGTGCATTCCTTTTTCTTTTTTTTTTGACCTTTTTTTTTTTTTTTCTTTTTTTCTTTTCAAAATCAGTAACACTCCAAGTTCTTCCTTATAATCCTCTAGTTGGAAAGGTCTACAAAATTAAGTCTCATAACCAAATGCCTAAAAACTAAATATAATAAAATGCATAGGTAGAATTCAAAAAGTGTCAGTAGATATTAAAATTCACTTGATGAATTGACTACAAATAACATGTGTATGCATGTATCAATTTTCTCCCTAGCGGGTTAGGAGTTGCCTTCTATTGTATAGCAATCTTATGCTTTCTGGTTTCTAAACAAGCTTGTTATCAAGAGTTAAAAGGGACACATAACTTTTTCTGCCTTCATTATCATATGCTTTAATGAAGTTAGGAAATTAGGATCACCAAAAATGTTACCTTTGCTAGATAAAAGAGTACAGGCATAAGAATGAGATTTTTTTCCATGCTGGCAACCACAGAATTTGAAAATTCTAGATAATTACAAGCCTGAGGTAAAATTTGAGTACAAATAATTCTCTTCCAAGAGGGAGAGACTGCAGTCCAACATCAAAGATATCACCACCAAAAATATCAACTCACAACATTTTTGTCCCTAATTTTATTATGTGCAAGCGAAAATTTATACTATTACTTAGAAGATGATTGAAAAGAATTTTCAGTGTTCTATACTAGATTAAATTAGGACTTTATTTTTTATTGTGTTATAAGGATTTGAATTGAATCCAAGAGCATCTCCGATCCTTCATCAAAATTTGATGGAAAAATGGCTAAAAGTGTGCTCCAATCATTTCATCAAATATGTGTCAAATCAAGGGAGAGGCAATTTGTTCACCAAATCAAAGATGAACCAAATCCTTTACCAAATTTTCAACAATCATATTTTTACTTAAATTTGATGAAATTTAAAAAAAGAATAAGGAATGGATATAGTTTTCTTTCATAAAAACGGTTAAAATAGATTTTTAGGACAAGTACGGAATTTTTAAAAAATATTTGATGAAAAAAAGACAAGTAAAGGATTAGAAGAGTGTTCCATATCAGATCAAACTTTCAACCAAATTTTCACTCAAATTTGATGGAAAAAAGAGAGATGGAACACTCCAATCCTTACTAAAACAGGTTTAATTGTTTAATACACAAGAAGCATACACATCATAAAGTAATTATAACCTGTTTTAGTATCACCTCTATAATGTTCAATTTCTTCTCATGACACATGCATTCCATCAATCATTTGGGAACCTATTCTTCACATAAATGTGATTTACATTCCAGATCAGCTACATGAATACAATACATTGTCAGGTTGAGTTGATTAGATATTTAATTGCACAAAACGCGAGGCTTATGTTTCTCGTTGTTCTCTTTTCTTACCTTTCTCGGCAAACAAACAGAAAGTACAGAGAAAATACTCAAAAATAGAGAAAATATGCAAAGAAATTTCGTTTAAACAGAAAGTACAGAGAAAATACTCAAAAATAGAGAAAATATGCAAAGAAATTTCGTTTAATACAACAATTTCAACTCAAGAATAAAAAAAAAAATGAACAATACTATAAAAATTGAAGAAGATTTGAGAGAGAGAGCGAGAGAGAGAGAGAGAGACCAAAGACATGGAGTTTGAGAGGAATTTGGCCGGAGGAAGATGAGCGGCGGTGAAATACGGCGGCGGAGTGAGGGCGGAGGAGTACGAAGGAGGAGGAGCAACGGACGACCACCGCCATTTTGCTTCGGATAAGTGTTTTCAGTATAGAGCTAATTTTTTTTTTTTTTATCTGAGTAAAAAACTCTGTTCAGATTTCAGAGGGCGTTTGGCTCCCTGGATGAAGTTATCCTTATTCTTAACCCCGTCGTGGATTTTACGCTTAATTGGTTTTGTCCTTTCTGTGTGCGCACGCTGAGACACTACTATTGGACTAGCTCCCATTCATACCATTTTTATTTTATTTTGAAAAATTACAACCCCAAAAAAAAAAAAAAAATCAAAATTTAACTTCGGTAATAAATCAAATCCTAATTTATTAAATTATTTTGATTTAAATTATGAGCTTTTCAAATAATATCAATTAAAGGACAATTTGAACAATTTAATCATTATTTATAGTCATGGATGCTATACTCATGACTACAAATAAACAAAATCGTTCATGTACAGGCTTAAGCTCGGCTCAGCAAGAGTTTGTTCGAACTTAGTTCGTTAATTTTTATTTATTTATTTTTTGCTCGAGTTCAAATTCGTTAAATTTTTAAGGGTAAATTACAAATACACCCCCTGAGATTTGCTTAAAATACGAATTGCCTCCTGTAGTTTGAAAAATTAGAAATACCTCTCTGTCAGAATTTTTTATTTAACAGAATTAATTGAAAAGGTAAAATTTCTAATTATTCACCTATACAATAATAAAAATAAAATTTTAACATTATTAAAAACTATTAATTATCTTGATGATTTATTAAGAAAATGACCTATTTGTTATGAAATTAGAAACTTTAGGAGGTATTATGTAATTCTAGAACCACATGGGGTAATTTATAATTTAAGTAAATCTCAGGAGATGTGTTTGTAATTTATCCAATTTTTAATAAACAAACCAAAACGTACCAAAACTGGGCTTGTAAGCTCAGCTCATTAGCTGATTCGTTTAACATTTATTATTTATATTATTTTAAAATAAGATAAATATGTTATTTATATATTTAAAAAATATATAAATATAAATAATAGTTAACTATATATATTATTTTGATAAAATATTGACTTTTTTTAGTTTACATATATTGTATATATAATTGTATAATCAAAATTTTAATTATAACTTCAGTCTCATACGCAATTATGAATTTGTAAATTTTTTGACTTGTTAAGACTCGTGAATAGACTCAAACTTGAGTTTGAGTCAAACTCAAACCAACTCGACTCGAGTTCGGTTCATTAAATTTTTATTGAACTCGAGTTCAAGTTCGAACTCATTAAAATCTTAGTAAACAAATCTAAACACATTAAAATTTGAGTCGATTTGACTCATTTGTACTCCTACCATTCATATGTGGATCACACATATTATAAATGTTACAAAATTTTATTTCTAATTGATTATTATCGAAATACACATCATGTATATTTAAATGATTTTTTGTTTGTTTGTTTGTTTGTTTTTATTTATTTATTTTTTTTTGGGTGGAACTTAATGTCTTAAAACATAAGTGTTATACTTTTCAAGATGGTATTATTTTCCAACAGGTGACGTCCCACGTGAGGTTTCATTGATCATGTCAAAGAATGGTGCTTTGGGGGTTAAGAAAAGCATTATTGACAAAAGATAAGAAAAAAAAGCATTTAAAAAATTCAATAATATTACATTTGTGGTCTTTTCTTATTACATTTCAAATGTGATAAATTGGTGCAATAAAGCTCACATAAACAACATTATTGAAAAAAAGTTGGGCTAAAAGGCTTCAATGTCCTCTCTCAAAGGAAAAGAGAGAAATTTCTCATGCGAGAGAGATGTTTATTAGATACATGATTTTCTAATGAGGGTTGGTCCAGATAACTATTATTAGATTTGTATTGGACGTTCAAAGAAATATATATATATATATATATATATATATATTATTCAGATTTCAGTCAACATGGCAAAAATGTCGATTAATTGAAAAGTTAAGAGATGAACATTATGAATTGGAAAAGGCTAATTAAAGCGTTATTTTAGTCTAAATTACAAATAATTTGGTCATATGGAAAAGTTAAGGGGAACTTAATGACTTTTTCATTAAATACTATCAAAAAAAATTACTAATTATTAATTTTTAGCGACATTTTGAAAATATTGTCACAAAAAATGTCACTGATTATAAGTTTGAGTGACAATTTAAAAAAATCATCACAAAAAAATGTCACTAATTTTCAACTTATAATGACAATTTAAAAAATTTGTCACAGAAAAATGTTATTAATTGTAAGTTTTAGAGACAATTTATAAAAATCGTGACAAAAAAAATCATTAATAGTCAATTTTTAGTAATATATGCAAAAAATTGTCATAAAAAAATTATTTTTAACGACAATTTTATTAAGATTTGATAAGAATTAAATCTAACTATTAGAATTTATTATTAGTTCACCCAAAAGGGGTTAACAATGTATTCATAAAGTGAACCATTTCTCTAGTCTTCAATCCTTTAAATCCTTTAAATCATCCAATATCAAGTGGCCATTTGGGAAGAGGAATAAAAAGCTGCATTTTGTGGAGGAAAAAAGCTATGGGCAGCTATAAACAAACACTTCCGATTTGTAGCTCGAAATTAGCGTGGCTCGAATGGCCCGACATCAAAACGACGTCGTTTTGATGGTTTTTTTCTTTTTTCTTTTTTCTGCGTTTTTCTTCTGCGTTTTTCTGATGAAGAAAAAGAAGAAAATGAAGAAGAAGAAGAAGAAGAAGAAGAAGAAGAAGGGTCTGCTGCAGATCTTGTTCATCATCTTCATCAACATCAACAAATTGCAACAACATCATCGTCATCATTGCAAAGATCAGAAAAAAAAAATCAAAAATTGATAGATCTACCAATTCTTTGATTTCTGATTCTTTGATAGATCTACCAATTCTTTGACATCAAGAACAAAAAAAAAAATCAGAAAAAAAAATCAAGAACATCATCATCATCAAACACATCAGCCAACAATTGCCAACAATTTTTTATTTATTTTTTCTTTCATTTTCAGAATAACATCAAGAACAAAACAAAAATCAGAAAAAAAAAAAAATCAAGATCTTCATCATCTTCATCATCAACAAATTTTATTTTTTTAACTAATCTTCAGATCCAGATCAAATCCAGATCAACTAAAAAAAAAAAAAAGTTTGAAAGAGGAGATCGGGCCGTCGATCGCCGCCACCATCACCGTCAATTGCCTCTTCTCTTCTCTTCTCTCTCTCTCTCTCCTCTTTTCTCGTCTTCCTTCTCTGTCTGTGTTCAAAAGAATGAAAAGGAAGGAAAGAAAGAAGAGGGAAAAAAAAAAAAAACACTGCCCAAAACGATGTCGTTTTGGACAGTTCGGGCCATTCGCGCCGGCCGAAATTTGAGCTACGAGTCATTTTTCATAAACAAAACAAAACCATTTAAAAAGTTATAAAAATGCAAACATATGAAATTATGTACCTACCCTCAATTGTTCAAACACACACGGGTAAAAACCATTTGAATAAGGATATTTTGGTCATTTTAATGTGATATGACACAATAAATAAATATTAAATCAAAAAGTCAAAAGTCAACTTTTTATCAACTTACCAAATTACTTTTCAAAAAAATTAATTTTTTTTATAAAAAATCAAAAGTCAACTTTTTATCAACTTCTAAAACACCCCTACGTATGTAGCCATGATCTTTGAACACTAGCCTCAACCTGCAAAACTATATGCAAAGTGATAACAATAACCATTAATAATTAATAAGAAGTTATATGTATGGATAGGAAATCCTGGGTCCTCAAAAGTGTATATGTTCCCATGTCACAAGCTTTCCTTCATCATCCGATGCGTTAAAATAATTATTTTCAAATTAAAAATGAGTCATTCTACAAAAAGAGGTTTGGGGCAGGGGATACACATTTTTTGAAGATAGAGAGTCACACTTCACATTTATTAAAAAATAATAATAACAATAAATGACATGTAGGGTAATTTTGTATATAAAAAAAAATTATAGTAAATGATTTGTCTCATTTATACATCCATTAAAAAACAATAAATATGGTCCGTAATTGTAATAATGTTATTATCATATCATTTTTTATGAATTTTTCATATGGAAATCCTATATTTTAGCATTTTCGATGTAATAGTAGTCAGGGTAAAGTATCAATAAATCTTAAAATGTAATTTTGTGATTTGTTTAGTTCTTCCTTTTTTTTCTTATGAAGAGAAAGGTTCTATTAAAGTGTAAATTACATAAACCAACTAGGCCTACTCTAGTCGGCCACCATGTCTTCCTTAGAGCTTAGTCCTAAGGAGGTCACGGGTTCAATTTCCCTTAGAGGGGTTGAATTAAGGGAGTGCAAGTACTTAAGTGCTTTGCCAAGGGTGATGAGATTTTCTCCCATAAGTGCTAACAACTAACATTTGCCGATCCAAAAAAAAAAAATGTAAATTACATAAAAGGGCTGTCACTTAGATAATTAGGTTTAATTTTTGAGGGATAAAAGTGGGTTTCTCCAAATGTGAAATTACACATTTGGACAATCCGCACTATAAAAGGTTTGAATTTTCCCTCATTATGAAACAAATCTCACATTGCAAACAAGAATGCACCACTCCAATGTAACACCCCAATAACGTAACACTCTAAAAAATTATTTAATATACTTTTTCCAAACGTAATAACATAACACACCAAAAAACTCATTAGTGTATTTTTCTCAAACATAACACTCCAATGTAACACACAAAAAAACTCATTAATGTACTTTTTTCAAACTTAACACTCTAATCAATTTAAATACTGAAAAATTCATTAGTGTGCTTTTCCCAAACGTAACACTCTCACGTAATACACACAAAAATACAAAAAAATTATTTTACTTTTCCCAAACATAACACTCCAATGTAAAACACACAAAAATACAAAAAAAAAAATGTTTAGTCTACTTTTTCTAAATGTAACACTTGAATCAATATAACACATAAAAAACTTATTAATATACTTTTTCCAAATGTAACAACACTCCAATCAATACTAAAACTTCAAATGTGGAATAAGAACTGAAATTAACCACACTCATTATAATTACACCAACATTTTCAGAACACTCGTACAAATAAAAATGGGCATGTTACACTCATACAAATAAAAATTGAAATTAACCACACCCATTACAATTACAATTACAATTAAAAATTGAAATTAACCATTCCAAACTTTTTATTTTTCAGTAGTTACAGCAATCACATATAACCTTGTGATGTAATTTAAAATTTGGTTTTGAAAGTGTCCCACAATCTAGATTTCATCATGCTTAACAACATAATCACTTTTTGATTAAAATTAAACCTTGGTTTCAAAATTATCCCCCAACCTGGGTTCCCACGGAATTCAATTTGGATATGACATGGCTTTTGGTGATTTACGTTTAATGGAATTTACATTGCTTGTTTTATTTCGAGCGCAGGAATCTAACGTGATGCCTAATAATGTTTACATGCTTCCGTTTGTTTTTAGAGGTAGAATAGAAGCATTTGATAGTGAAGAGATTAATAGTAAGAAGATTAAGTAAAATTATATTTGTTTTGATGATAGTTGTTAGTGTAGGGATTATTAAATTATTTTTATATAAAATAAATATAAAATAATAAAACAAATAAAAAAATACAAAAACATTAAACATTAATGTTTTAAAAAAAATGCCCAACATGTAAAAAAATTTAAAAAAATAAAAATAAAATAAAAAATTTTCAGAAAAAAAAAAAACAAATAAAATAATGATTTTTACTCCTAGAATTGCAACACCTGATATCTTCTTGGTGCACTAACTCCTTGCAAAGGTCCTGTAAATCAAAAGTATATCACAAAACAAGTTATAAATCAAAAGTATACAAAAGGACACTTCAATTTTTAGACGGCAAGATTATTTGCTTTATAGAGAATAGTACCATTGCGAAATCAACTTCAATCTGAGTCTTAAATACTATTGATATAGTTTGAGGACAACAACTCCAGAACAACCCGTCCATACAAGAGTGGGATAATTTGATCATGATCAAGTTTCTTCTAGCTTTAAGTACTCAAACTCGTGTTTGAGAATGTGAAATTTCTTGTGCTTCTTCTATGTTAAAGAATTTCTTCAAAATCCATTGTAGAAAACAAAAGAAAAAAATTTCAAATCAATATAAATTAATGTCACACAGGATAACGTAGCGAAGGGAAGTGAAAACTTACCTTGTTATGACTCATATTCTTGGTGAAGACTTTAAATTGAAGTGCTCTTGAAAGAAAAACTCTCAATTTCAGGAACCACTCAACATCATGGACGTTAAAACTCAATGATTTATCTACCCATTTACCAAAAGCAATTGTTGAAGATATTATAGGCCCTGGATCACCCTTACATTGGTATGAAAGCAAATTTGGAGAATCAATATTGACTGTAACTACCTTTGCACATTACTGTAAGGTGAAGCGCTTAAGATGACTACTTGAAATCTTAATGCTTTTCAACATATCGCAACAACTCAACTCCAAAATCTCAAGAAGAGGGAATTTGGAAACAAGGTCATGAAATAAACCCTCTTCAATGTCAGTGTTACACAATGATAGGTGTTTCAAATTTTGACATCTAGACATGTTGAAAGTCTTGACATAGGTTGAATGTTTCTTGTTAGTGTAATGAAAATACTCGAGGCTTGGAGCTTCAATTTCAACCATGTTAAATGGATGGCGTGATTTGACGACCAAAGTAAGTTTCCTAAGTTTATGAAGACATTTTACTTGAAATCTATTCAACCCCCTACAATGAATGAGAACAAGTTCTTCGATCAAAGGGCAACTAGAAAAGAAATGTTGAAGAACTTTCTCATCAATTTGGAGAGTTTCTAGAGATAGCCTTTGTAAAGAATTGAAATTGATAGTCTCCTTGCATAAGGGCAGCCCTAGATTACAATCCTTCAACTTCAAAGCCTTCATTGATTTAGCGTCAAAGATAGATGGAGTCAAGTTGTAGAGCGCGCAAATTTCAGGATAAGTCCACAAATCAAGCTCTTCAACATTGCTCTCGATGATCATTCGCAACCATTTTTCAAGAACTACAGCGGATTTAGAATTCACGAGCCTTATAACAAGCTTAAATTTCTGAACCTTAATCTTGTTCTCAATGAACCTTGACAAAGACCGATCCACGTGATTGAAGAAAATACTGTTTGTAGTTTCCCTATCATCTATATGCTTCATAAAGCCATCAGTGAAAACCTCTTGAGTCCAACACATGCTCTCGGGGTTTCCATTTAATCTTTGTTCAAGGTGTAACTCATCAAAATTCAATATGGGGAACGAAGCCCACAAATTGTGCCATCTTTTAGATAGCACGCTCGTTCTTGCAACGTCTGATCTGTTGAGAAAAGACATCATATGATGAATGATGGAATCAGGCAGTTCTGATATACGGTCCATGGCGCCTATGTTGTTGTTGCTCAGTTTTGCTGAAACTCTATACAAAATTTGTCATATGATACTATGTTTTTTTGCTATAGAACTATTGAATAAATATATGTAATTTATAATTGGTTGCTTCTAAATCAGGAAAAGAAGTATGTGTGTGTTCAATACCTGATGAGAGAAGATGAAAAGGACATGGCCCTGGTGTTTTTGTACCATGATTCATAAAACTGTGCTTTTGAGCGAATCAAGTCTGATACAAGAGATCAAATCCTTGTAGAACAGGTATTTGAAGAAATAAATAAATAAAACTAATTGTGGCATAGTTATTATTTATGTAATTCTTATGACGAAAAAAAGAAAAAGAAAAAGAAAAAGAAGAAGAAGAAGATAAAGATCTGTCAGAATGCAGAGTCAATGAGAGAGAATAAAAGACTCCTTTATAGATTTTTCCTCTGTTTAGAAAACAAAATTTGGATAAATAATAACTATGGACTATTAGTTCTAGAAATTTTAAACTTCTAATATAAACCAACAACCTATTGAGGCCTGTTGAATCTTCAATCCTTTTCAATCACTTTAGATCATCACTTGTCACCATTTCAATTTAAGACGACTATCTTGGCCTATTGAGGCCTTGTTTGGGATTTATTTTTTTAGAAATTAAGCTAAAATGCATTTGGGAAGTTGTAATGATTAATTATTTTTTTAAAAAGCAAAATGGTTGATATAATATTTAACTTTCTTTTAGTTGATGAGAAACAAACTTTTTAGTATTTGAACTTTTTTATTTTTGAGCAAATTACATATACCCCTCGAGGTTTGGCTAAATTACAAATACCCTTTGAGGTTTGAAAAATTACAAATTTCTCCTTAAATTATATATTTGTATAACAAATTAGGGAGTAATTTACTATGAAATTTAAACCTCAGAGGGCAAATTGTTATGAAAATATAAACCTTAGGGGGCGGGATGTAATTTCCAAAACTTCAGGAGATATCTGTAATTTAGCCAAACTTCAAGGAAGGTATATGTAATTTTCCCTTTATTTTTTTATTATATTAAAAAAGAGGTGAAGTATGTTCATGGTCCTTGTAATTTGTAATTTGGTTCTTTTGCCCATTTGATCTATATAGATTCAATTGTATCAATTTTCACCTTTAATTTTTCACGTTATCAATTTAATTCAATCAATAACCTACATTAAAAAATTAGACTCAAATTAAGGGCAAAACAGTTTATTCAAAATAGAACAAATAATTTTAAATTGAGCAACAAACCTTCAATTATTTTGAGGAGTGAATGAATTATTTTATCTCTTGATTCCAATCCAATTTCTAAAGTCATTATTTATTGAAGCAAATTGAAATGATATAAAAAATTCAAAGACAAAAATAATGCAATTAAGACTATAATGATCAACTTGACACCAGAAAATAAAAAAATTAAAAAAATTAAAAAAAAAACTACAATTTAAATAAATAAATAAAACGGTGGGCAAGGGAGACAAATTTCAATTGCAATATATTTATTCTTCAATTTCACTTTTGTGTCAAATAAGAATAATTAGAGAAAATTAAAAATAAATTAATAAAACAGGGTTTGGATTTTATAATAAAATAAATTTTTAATTTTTAATTTTATCAGTTTAAATCATAATATTATTTTGATTTACTCATTAAACTCAATAGAAACGGGTATTTTAGACATTTAATGACTACCATATCATTTTTCATTCGTTAAGTAAAAATGTTCGAAAAATATTAGATAGCGTTTGGTTTACTTTTCAAAATTCAACTTTGTTTTTAAATTATGATTTAGATGAAATAAATCAAACATATTTTAAAATACAATTCAAAATTACTTTCAAAACTCATTTCTTCTCTTATTATTATTTTTAAATTATGATTTAGATGAAATAAATCAAACATATTTTAAAATACAATTCAAAATTACTTTCAAAACTCATTTCTTCTCTTATTATTATTATTATTATTAATCAATCAATCGAACACTATTTTTTCTCTCATCTCTCCTCTCACATTCTATACATCAATTAAAAAAAATTACAAAGCATCTCAAAAATATTTTCAAAACTCATAATCAAACAAATTTTCTCTTTTCAAATCATGATTCAAAAATTCAAAACTCAAAACACAATTTCACATTTAAATCATAATTATAAAACTAAATCAAACAGACCTTTATGTTTTATATTAACAGAAACTGGTATTTTAGACATTTAATGACTAAAATATCAGTCCCTAATAGCTTCCATTGAAACCCAACCTGAAAAAATAAAAAAAAATTAAAAAAAATCTATATCTATACTATATACTATATATTAAGCAAAAGGGAATTTTTAACCCCAAGCTTTGTGGGAGCTCCAATCTCCCAATTTAAATTTTCTGATTTTTTTTTTATAAAAAAAAATATTAGCATTTATTAACTTCTCCCAACTCCCAAGTCTTACCATCATAATAACACTTTAATGCATTAAGAACAAGCATAAAAAAAATCAAAAATGCTAGAGGCCCCAAAAATTCTACCAAAATTTTTACCAAATGTCTCACATGGGTGTGGGACCCACATGGGACCCATATTGTGTGGTCCCACACTCATTTGAGACATTTGGTAAAACTTTTGGTAGAATATTTGAGGTCTCTAACATTACTCTATGAGGAAAATGCTATAGACCCCAAACAAATTACCAAATAAATTACCAAACCTCTCACATGGGTGTGGGACCTACACACATGTGATTTGTGTGGGTCCCACACCCATGTGAGAGGTTTGGTAATTTATTTGGTAATTTGTTTGGAATCCCTAGCATAACTCTTCCTTAAAAAGTCCCAACACGTATGATTATTATCCCTCATAATAACACTTTAATGTATTAAAAACAAGCATAAAAAAATTTATTGAAAAGTATTGAAATTGCACCACAAAGTTTCACCAAGTTATGACATTTATGTCCTTGGTTTTGACCTATTATAAGGCCTGTTTGGTAGAGCTTATAAACTGCTTATTTCAATTTTTAGCTTAATTTAAGCTAAAATAGTGTGTTTGGTGCAGTTTAAGTTAACCAACTTATAGCTTAAATCAAGCTATTTCTCAACTTATCTCAAAAGTTGGTCGGGGGTGCTTAAATTTTTGAATTAAGCGTGCAGTTGGTGTAAGGGGGCTAAAATTACTTTCATACAAATAATTATAAATACAGCCCGTGTATAGTTACTGTAGTAACCTTTTTAATTTCTCTGGTACACTATGGTTAGTGATAAGATTGTTAAATTATTTTTATAAAAAACTTAAAAAACATAATTTATATATTAAAAAAAATTAAAATAAATATAAATATCTATAATTATCTTGTGCATAGCACGGGTGATCCGCTAGTATTATATAAGAAAAATGGGATTTCTAATCTACAAGCTTTGTGGGAGGTCCAATATCCTAATCCTAATTTTCTAATTTTTTTATTTAAAAAAAAAAAAACTCAACATTTATTGACTTCTCCCAATCCACAAACCTTTTTGACTTCTCTCATAATTACTGGAGCAGCCTTTTCAATTTCTCCCCTATATTATGGTTATACACAAAAATAAAGAAGATAAGAATTTAGTTATGGATCTCAAAAAGATATAACATCTAAATTTGAATTATGATTTAGTAATATAATTATCTATTTTTTGATGTATATCTATCAAAATTTTAAATCACATAATGGGACAAATTAATCAATTTTCTAAAAGTATTGATTTTTTAATTTATAAAATAGATTAAAAAAATTATTGATTGATTTATTTATTTAATAACAAAAATATTTCCTAATCTCTCTCATTGATTTTGAAAAAAATAATATTAAAACTATCTTCTTTCTCTCTTCTTAAAAAAATCAGATAATATTTTTCATGAAAGTTGTAGATATCTATCTATATCTTATATATATTATATTATAACATAAAAAATAAAAAACACTAAATCAGATATATAAACAGATAAAATTAATAAATTTAATTTTTATTTATTCAGTTAAAATCTTTCTTTGCATCTCAATATCAAATTTTAAATTTTAAAAATATTTAAAGTTTATCTAAACAAATCAAATTTGAAAATGTCTCTCACCATTATACTTTAAATCAATAAAACTCAAATGTCTATCACATATCTAACTCACATCATAATTTAACTAAATAATAATAATTAAAAACAAATAGAAACCAAAGATAAATTAAATTTTTTTTAAAAAATACCCACAATTCCATCTTAAATAAATTGAAAAAAAAAACCCCCCGAATATAAACCACACAAAAAAAAAAAGATAAGAATTTAAATATGGATCTAAAAAAAATGACAATATCTAAATTTGAATTATGATTTAGTAATATAATTATCTATTTTTCTGATGTATAGATATCAAAATTTTAAATTACTTAATGAGACAAATTAATCAATTTTCAAATCTTATTTAAAGAATAATTTGATTAGTCATCCCAACTCTTAAACTTCGCGGGTACTGACAGAGGAGCTAACGGATTGGGTTAGGTGTGGTTTAAGTTGTTGGAGATAACATTCTCGCATTTATTTTTTAATTTTATTTTTTTCCTGTGTGATTCTATTTCCCTCCTGTTGGTTTGGTTTCGGTTTCGGTTTCGGTTTCAATTTATGTTTTAGTGAGGTTTATGTATCTGTTTACATGTTTGCATGGTAGAAAAAAATTATTGGTGATTATGGTTGCAATCGAAGTATCTATGTCCGTTCCATGCCAAGGATTTGATCGGATTTTGTTTTCTTCAGTGAAGACCATAAAATTGAAGTTAACAAAATGGGTATCAAACTTTTTATGTTTTGTCATTTTATTTTATAAAAAATGTGAAAATTTATTGAGAATTCAATATTTTACTATAACATTAGATTTTTATATAACTAGGTAAATTTAAAACTTTTAAATATCATTGTGTTATTCATTTTTATTCTCTTTCTATCCCATTAGACCATTATTACTATTTGTTAGTTTGTTAATTATAATTCAATTAATTGAAAATTAGATCTTAATATAACTTTTCATAATTATTATAGTTAATATGCTGCAACTATAGTTGTATATAATAGCATAATATATAGGGATAATCTCTAAATATAATTTCTATTTTTTATAGGATTAAAATAGTATATCTTAATAATATATAGAAGAGTTAGATAGTTTCTTTTATTTCTAAAAAAGCCAATCTATTTTTTTTCTTTTTAATTTTGTAAGCTGAAATAGTCTATCTTAATAGTATATAGAAGTGTTAGATGGTTTCTTTTATCTATAAAAAATCCAACCTATTTTTTTATTTTTTAAATAGAAACATTAATTGTTTATGTCCATAAAACAAAACTAATAAACACATATCAAAAAACTACACTTTTTTTTTTCATTTTTTAATATGTAGGATATTTACAAATGGAAAATGTTTGACACCCCAATTTTTTTTTTCCATAATCCGACTTATAATGATGTAGTCATTAGTGTCAATTTTTATACATATATGAGAAGAGAATTAATTAAATTATACATTTCAATCAATCACATATTCAAACTTTGACTATTTCAAGATATTATTTCACTGTAATTCCAATTAAGAAAATATTTAACCCTTAATATATTGAAAATTGAAAATTGGTGAAATATTGAAAATTATTGTTTTTTCCATCAAAATTGGTGAAAAGAAAAAAATTGGGATAAGGATGAAAGTTCTTTTAAACATTGATAAAAAATTTAATGAAAAAATTAAAATAATTCATATCAAATCAAAATTTATATCTATTTATATATTATATAAGAAAAAATGAGAGAGCTCAAATGTCTCAATCCTAATTTCTTAATTTTTTGATTTAAAAAAAATAAAAATAAAACTCAGTACTTATTGACTTCTCCCAAATCTTTTTGACTTCCCATACACACCATTTTCAACTTCTCTCATACCTATCTAATTATTTCCCTTTTTCAACTTCTCCCATACCTATTTAATTATTTTGAAAATAATAATTATCCCTTAATTTATGGATTTCAAATGAAAAGATAACAAAAATGTTTCATAATCTCTAAATTCTAATTTTTCTCATCAATTTTCAAAAGAAAATATTAAAACTTGTCTTCCTTTTCTCTCTCTTAAAAAATCAAATAATATTTTTCATAAGAATTGTAGATATCTATCTATATCTTATATATTATATTATAACATAACCAAAAAAAAAACAAAAAACAAAAATCAGATATACAAACAGATAAAATTAATAAATATGATTTTTATTTATTCAATTAAAATCTTTCTTTTGCCCCTCAATATCAAATTTTAAAAATCTTTAAAATCTATCTAAACAAATTTAATATATAGTGAATTACACTAATAGTCCCTATAATTTGGGGCTTGTGTCACTTTGATCCCTGACTTTTCAATTGTGACACATTTGACCTTAAATTTTAAATCTTGAATCTTGTTCCAAATAAGGACAATTGAAAATATTATTAGATTTTTCAAGAATAAAATCGTTAATTTGATAAAATATAAACTAATTTGACAAAAATAAATGTCAAACAAATATTTTTAAATTTTTAAAAATTATTTCTACCCACTAAAAATAAAATTATGTAAAATTGATAAATCTTTTAAACATTTATTTTTTTTTACCAAATTAATTTTTATTATGTGTTTGGATGATAATCATGTAAAATTAATTTTAAAAAATTAATCATGTAATTTTTATTAATTTTTATCAATTTATATAATTTTATCATTGGTGGATAAAAATAATTTTTTAAAAATTAAAAATATTTTTTTGACATTTATTTTTGCCAAATTAGTTTATATTTTATTAAATTGACGATTTTGTCCATGAAATTAAACAATGGTAACTTCAATTGTCTTTATTTGGAACAAGATTCAAAATTCAGGGTTAAATGTGTCACAATTAAAAAGTCAGGGACCAAAGTGACACAAGTCCCAAACTATAGGGACTATTTGTGTAATTTTCCCTTTAATACATCTCACACCATCATACTTTAAATCAATAAAACTCACATGTCTATCAAATATCTAACACACATTATAACTTACCTAAATAATAATAATTAAAAATAAATAGAAACCATGGACAAATTAAATTTAAAAAAAAAATAGAAATCACAACTCCATCTTAAATAAGTTTTTTTATAAAAAAACAAATAGAAACCACACAAAAATAAAGAAGATAATAATTTAGATATAGATCTCAAAAAGATATGATAATATCTAAATTAAAATTTTAAATCACTTAATGGGATCAAGTCTTATTTGAACAATAATCTGATTAGTCCCAACTTCTAGACTTCACAAGCACTGGCAGAGGAGTTGATGTGTTAGGCGAGGCAAGGTCTAAGTTGTTGGGGGTAATATCCTATCACTCCATAAATTTATTTGTTTTTTAATTTTATTTTTTTTCCTATGTGATTCTCTTTCTCTATTGTTGGTTTGGTTTTGGTTTCAGTTTTAGTGAGATTTATGTGTTTGTTTATAGGTTTACATAGTGGATAAGAATTATTAGTGATGATAAGAAGTATCTATGCCCATTATGTGACAAGAATTTTGATCGGTTTTTGTTTTTTTCAATGAAAACCATAAAATTAAAGTAAAAAAATGGGTATTGAATTTTTTATTTTTTATTTTCATTTTATTTTATAGAAAATGTGAATATTCATTGAGAATTCAAGATTGTACTATAATATTAAATTTTTGTATAACTAGGTAAATTTAAAACTTTTAAATATCTTTGTGTTTTATTTTTATTTTTATCCTCTTTATATCCTATTATACCATTATTACTATTTGTTAATTTGTTAATCATTATGCAATTAATTAAAAATGAAAGTTTAGTATAACTTTTCATATATATATTAATTAATTTGTTACCACTATATTTGTATATAATAACATAATAATCTCCAAATATAATTTCTATTTTTTTATGTGATTAAAACAGTTCATCTGAAAATAGTATATATATAGGAGTTAGGTGGCTTCTTTTATCCAAAAAAAATAAATCTATTTTTTTTTATTTTTTAAATTGGAACATCAGTTGTTTATGTCCACAAAACAAAATTGATAAACACATATCCAAAAGTTGCACATTTTTTTGCTTTTTTTTTTTGTTATTTTTTCTTTTTTTTAATAGATAAGATATTTACAAATGAAAAATATTTGACATCTCAAAAAAAAATTTCATAATCCGACTTATAATGATATGGTTATAAGTGTCAATTTTTATACAAATATGAGAAGAGAATTAATCAAATTATACATTTCAATCAACCACATACTCAAACTTTCACTATTTCAAAATGTTATTTCACTGTAATTCTAATTAATAGGATCTTCAACTCTTAATATTTTTTTTATCGAATTATAATTTGATAAAAATTTTAAAAGGTAAAGAGTTGGAAATTATTATTTTTTCCCAATAAAATTGATGAAAAGAAAAAAAAATGGGATAAAAATAAAAGTTCTTTTAAAAATTGATAAAAATTTAATGAAAAAATTAAAGTAATTCATATAAAATTAAATTTTTTATTTAAATTTAAAATTAAATTAGATAAAAAAAATTAAAAGAAAATGATGAAAGGTTAAAAATATTCTAAAACTTTTTTATTATTAAAGACTAGAAATTCGTGTGCATATTGTATTTTTAATTATAAAATTAAAATCAAAAGAAATGTAACTTAAATTATTAGATTAATAACAAAAATAACATATCAATTATTGTTAAATATCACTTCGCTTCATATTTAATAATAAAATTATATATTTTTCTTAATTATAACTTTTAAATCGGTATATTTTCGTAACAAAAAAAGGAATATCATAACTAATGTAACCTCATCTAATTAGATTTATTTATTTATTTATTACAAATTATCAAAATTGCACTAAATAAATTTATATATATATATATATATATATTTTAATTTTTTAAACTAATAAGTTAAAAAATTATAAACATAAAAGTTAACTTATACATGTACACTACAACACAAAATATTAAATAATTAATTAAATATATTTATAATAAAATTTTTTTTTTAATTTATAAAATCCGTGCATAGCATGGTTTCCACCAGTTGTCTTCGAATCAAACATCAAAACCAAAATTAAAAAGAATCCTAGTATATGTATAGAACAAGCATTGAGCAGGTTTGGTTGAAAACCCTAGGGATTGATTGCTTTTGAGGAGGAGAGAGCAGTGGATCTCAAATTTGGAGTCTGATCCCTAATTAACAAGGTATTATTCTTTCGTTGCCTTAATTCATCTCCCCCTCTTTCTTTTGGTGGATTGTTTCAGTTGTTTCTATGCGTGATAAACGAAATAAATAGTTAATTGTTTAAACTTGATTTGATAATTTTAACAAATTTTAACTTTTGTTTGTTAATTCGTTAAATTTGCAAACTGATCTCAAACAAGCTTTTGTGAGCATTTTAGGGTTATCAAACTGAGTCGAATGAACAATTGACCGTTTAAGTTTGATTTTATTAAAATATATTCAAGTTTAATTTGCTTATTTAACCAACTGAACTCAAATGAGTTTTTAACAAGTCGAATCGTGAGTTAAACTTTGGTTTGTTATCAATATTTGTTTCTTTTTTGTTTGCTTATTTTCACCTAATTAGCTATTTTAGTTATTTTTTTGACTTTTTATGTAAAAACGTCCAAAAAAGCAGACAGAATAGTGTGCTTGGTTTGAGTTTTTTAGATTAAATTTTTTGAAAATTGAGTTTTTTTATTTTTGTGTTTTTTTTTTGTTTTTAGTGAATATTTTTAAAATTTTAATTTTTTTTTAAATTTTTTTAGATGCACCTTATATAGATATATCTAAAAATTAAAAAAATTTGTGAAAAATATATTTTAAAAAATTAATAAATACAAAAAAAATACAAAAAAATATACTGAATTCTTTTTTCTTTTTTCTTTTTTTTTTGTATTTTTGGTATTTAGTGAATTTTTAAAAGGTTTTTTTCACAATTTTTTCACTTTTTAGGTATATTTATGCTAGGTATGTCTCCATTTTGCCTTCTTCTTCACCCAATCTCTTATCTCCATCATCTCCTTTGTTGTTGTGTTCCTAAGTTGAGATTATTGAAGAATCTAAGCCTCTCATCATATTCTAGAGAATTCGATCTTCGAATTTTCTAACTCTTTTCGTGAACCCTCTCCTACAAACTTTTGTTTGTTAATTCGTTAAATTTGCAAACTGATCTCAAACAAGCTTTTGTGAGCATTTTAGGGTTATCAAACTGAGTCGAATGAACAATTGACCGTTTAAGTTTGATTTTATTAAAATATATTCAAGTTTAATTTGCTTATTTACCAACTGAACTCAAATGAGTTTTTAACAAGTCGAATCGTGAGTTAAACTTTGGTTTGTTATCAATATTTGTTTCTTTTTTGTTTGCTTATTTTCACCTAATTAGCTATTTTAGTTATTTTTTTGACTTTTTATGTAAAAACGTCCAAAAAAGCAGACAGAATAGTGTGCTTGGTTTGAGTTTTTTAGATTAAATTTTTTGAAAATTGAGTTTTTTTATTTTTGTGTTTTTTTTTTGTTTTTAGTGAATATTTTTAAAATTTTAATTTTTTTTTAAATTTTTTTAGATGCACCTTATATAGATATATCTAAAAATTAAAAAAATTTGTGAAAAATATATTTTAAAAAATTAATAAATACAAAAAAAATACAAAAAAATATACTGAATTCTTTTTTCTTTTTTCTTTTTTTTTTGTATTTTTGGTATTTAGTGAATTTTTAAAAGGTTTTTTTCACAATTTTTTCACTTTTTAGGTATATTTATGCTAGGTATGTCTAAAAAGTAAAAAAAAAAATTGCTCAAAATATTAAAAAAATTCAGTAAAACAAAAAAAGCGGAAAACAAGAAAGTAGAATTTTCTGAAAAGTATTTTTGGAAAACTGTAATCAAAAAATTAATTTTTGGTGATAACTTTTTTTTTTTTTTTTAAATGAGTTTGAGGGGGGCTGTTAATATTATACTGTTAATATAATACTATATAATACTATATATATATATCATTGTTAATACTATATATGATAGTGTGAATATATTAAATATAATATCGACAGAGGCTTTCGGCTGCTTTCGGCGCCTCCTCCTTTCGGCGTCCTTTTTATTATTTTATTACATTCCATCATCATGATGTCTTGTATCAGAACTCCTATATAATGGAGTCTCTAATTTTGTTTCAGACAGAGTGTTAATAATACAGAAACCTCTTTCAATATTACTCTCTCAATTCTCTCAATTTCTCTTTCACTGTCAATATTATTATTTTTAGATATGGAGGAACTTGTGAGCAAGTCAATTGATGAGGAAATTGACAACATAGATCGTTGGTTATCTTTGCCTGAAGATGTCATCCATGGCATTATGTCTTTTCTTCCCACAAAAGAAATTGTTAGAACCTGCGTCTTGTCGCACCGATGGGAATGGATACAGGCTTCTTACCCGAATTTGGATTTCAATCAAACATGGTTTGGAGAGGAATTAATTTTTGGAAAATTCGAAAGTGATTATTTACTTCAAAGATATCCTGATATAGAGGTAAAAAGGGACAAGTTCATCAAATTTGTTGATGATACTCTATTAAGATATCATGAACAAAACTTTAGGATAAGGAAGTTCAAGCTTTACTTTACCCTAGTTGATTCTGCCATGGGTTCTCTTGTTGATAGATGGATTGCGTTGGTTATCAAATGCAGAGTAGAAGGACTACATATCTGGATCATACCTCCCCGATTATGCATTATACACTTTACCCCATACCATCTTTTCCGCAAATTCAATACAGGCTTTGGAGTTGCAAAACGGTTGTAAGTTTGAACAGGCGTCACATAGACAGAGTATAAGATTTGTTTCTCTGCGAAAGCTATGTCTCAGACGTATGCATGTGGATATGCAATTGGTGGAGAATATTATCTCTAGTTGCCCTTTGATTGAGGAAATTGAACTTGATCAGTGTTTGGGATTGAAGAAGGTTCAGATTTCTGGTCTTCATAACCTCAAGATAGTTCGTGTAGTCCAAGGCAAGGACGGAATTGAGCTAGTTGACATTGAAGCACCAAGTCTGTATAGATTGTCCTATGAAACCTTCGCCACTAAGATTTCACCCTGCAAGTTCAACTTGATTGCCTGCCGGAATTTGAAACAGTTCACTTTATTAGAAGTTGTCATTGCAGACCAGCAGTTTAATGATCTTATTACTGAGTTTCCTCTCCTTGAGCGTTTGGTCGTGTTTGATTGCAATTTGTTGGAAAGGGTTAAGATTCAAAATCAATGTCTAAAGGATCTTCGTTTCATACATTGCAACAAACTAGAGGAGATTGAAATTGATGCTCCTAATTTACATTCATTCCACTATTGTGGTAATTTGATTCCCTCGATAGCGTCAAAAAGTGCTTCAGGACAATGGAAAGCTGATTTCAGATTATACCAGAATAATCGTCTGAACTCTCAATGGTTCCATAGGATCAGAGATTTCCTCACAAGAACAAAATATTTTAAAGCTTTGACCTTGGTATTCTGTTGTTTTGAGGTATATCAACTAATACATGTACAATACTTGAACGGTTAATAATCATGTGAATGACAACTTATATCAATTTTTGCCCTTGCTTTTATGGATCTCTTTTACAAAGTTTTAATTCATTTATAGAGCGAAGTTCTTGTTTGGATTCTTTTCAATATGTTACTTTCTAGCAAAAATTACATCTTAGCCCACAAGCTTGATCATTATGAAATATCAATTGGTTGAAGTTTCTTTTTCTAGACATTGAATATGTGGAAAACTAATTTTAATAATTTCAAGTTGTTATTCATTTTTTCTGTGATTGTGCATTTATGCAAGTATGTGAATGTGTGTTGGTATATTTGTATGCATATTCTTGTAGACTACATTATTTACATGCTCAGTATATGCATATTCATTTTTAATATTTGCCATCTAGTAGTTGGCAATCTTAATAAGGTTCTCTAAGAACTTCAATTATAGTTATGTAATAATATCATTATGTATTCACGTTAGAGTGAGTTAGTCCCCAAAGAATTTACTAGTCAGCGAGCATCATTGGCTAGACAAATTCATGTTTACATTTATGTAATTCTAACTCAATCTGATGTTATGTTATTATGCTTTTGACATGGATTGTTAAGATTACATTTAACAAGGAAGAGTTCAGCAACATATTGGTTCCTTCAATTCCTGTGCTTGAGCACGTAGAGCTGTGTGTAGTATCATCTTCACTATGTTATTCTGCTCTTCTGGATGAACTGCTGTGGAGTTGTCGCCCTAAAACTCTTTCCATACACTTTGCGGAGTTGGTGTCCCCAAACAAATTCATTAAGGTACGATTATTTCACTACATGTTCTTGTTATTTGTAGTGCTTCGACTACTCATATGTGGTTGTATCTACATTCTTTTTATTCATATTTAGTGTTGTTTAACATGTTTATTCCTTCTATAACTTTAAAAAGTTTTGAATTTTAATTAGAAAAAAATTTATTCAATAAGATGGAGTGAGGAAAGCAAAGAAAAGTAGCCATTATTTCGATGTTAAAGTGGGAAAGAATGTGAAGGATTAGCCAATTCCGAAGGATCTGGATGGGTTAGATCCTTGCGATCCTCTTGTAGAAATTAACTTAGATATGCTTTCCTTTTGCTTTTCTTTCCGAAACATTAGGAGGGATACTTTTTGGCATGTCCTTTCTTTTCCTTCATATTTAAACTAGTTCCCTTCTAGATCCCCAAGAGCAATCTTTTCAAGTTTATTCTACGTTTACTACTTGTCTTGTTGTTTGCCTGACTTATATGGGTGGTAAAAGATTGTAACTATTTGGCTGTGATATACATGATTTGCAGGTCCTTCGCGAGAAGTTTGCGCACAAATTTGATTTGAATTGTTGTGATTTAAGCAGTGTCCGATGTTGGCAGCATGATTTGAACGATTTTGAGTGCTATGACGGAGATGGGAGGCCTCTTCCTTGGAATGCTATATCAGATGAATGGACAAATGTTGAGAAAAGCAGAAAAATGCGCATCACATTCACATGGTGACATTATTGACGCAGCAGGTTTAAACTATTTGGATATCGAATCAATTTGATTTACTCTCTTTAAAAATTCATTTCTTTTACCAGATAGATCCCTGTTCAATGCTTCAACTAACAATAGGAAAATTTATTTTGAATAAGCATGGTCTCAAAATGGGAATTAAATGCCTAAAAATTGGGCATAGTATCTTCTTTTATGATTTAGTGCATTTGATAATATATGATATCATCTGTCTTTTGGATCATAGATTGACTGAGAGTGGGCTTTAGTTTTATGTTAGAAAGACTTAACGGGTAATTAATGGTGAATATGCTCAGCGCAAGGCAATTAGGCATTAAAAAAAAATTAGAAATTCAATAACCACATATTTGGTTGATTGAACTTATAATTAGCCTAGGTTTTTTTGAAAGGCACTCTGCCTATGGATTGGGGGGATTGGGTGTCTAATTCTCCTTTACATCTCATCTCAGCATTGTCGGTTGGCTCAGTTTAACTTCTTGTATAGAATTCCATAACTAGAAGATTAAACTGAAAATATGACCTCTGCAATGATTTAAATGATTAGTTGTTATCTTGTTATTTTGTTTTTCAGAAAGCAATAAATAAAGATGGCCCTAGGAGGATTAAAGATGAAAGGATGCATCATCTCTGACTGAAATTGGTGAATCTATTTATTTGTGGATTGTGCTGTCGGAAGGGGTTAATTTTTATTGGATATTTATTAATTTGAATATTTAAGACAATGGTAGCTGCATTTATGTTTGCTTCTCCATAATACGATTTTGTTTTCTTTTTTTTGAACATTAGTGAAAGCCTATCTTTTGCTGACTAGTGTATATTTATGATTTATAAATTCAAAAATTTGAAAATTATGCATTGAGAGTGCGAACTTCACAGTTTTATTATATGAAGTTCAGATTCCTTTGTTTGGAAGGGAATTCTTTCGAGTAGAGTTCATTTCTAAAGGACCATGTCACTGTGATCTGAAGAATCTGTGGATATCTAGGACCCTTGGGTTCGAGGAGTTATTTGGTCATCTTGGGGGCATGGCTTAGTAGTGTTTGGTGGTGCATTAGGAGTATTGTGATCGGTGGATGGGCTGAGGGTTTACGATTTTGTGTTGTAACATGGGGAATAAATATCTCCCTTGCATCCTTGACCTAACTATTAGGGGTGATCAACGGATATTCTGATCCGCTCAAACAAACCGAACTGAATCGATCTGTCGCATTTTGAACGGATGCGTGATGATGAGCGGACTGTTGCGGATTAATTTTTCTCCAATCTGTCTAGTTTTAGATAAATAATAGATTTGAGGTTTCTTTTGCTGTAATTGAATCGTCAAACCACAAACATCCTAAGTAATTTATAAGATTTAGTGCTTTCAATTTGTTTAAATATTCTATTTGTATTTTTAATTGAAAAAGAATTTAGATATTCTGTTGTGTTTTCAATTTGAAATTCCTTTTATCAAATGGCAAGTGTTAATATTTGGTATTTTTGTATGGAAAATATAAGACTTAATTTTGACATTTTTACATTTTTAAAAAAAATCAAATTAAATAGTTTTTCAATAAAAAAGAGAGTAATGAATTGGTTTTGATAATGCATGGTTTTCTTATATGTATTTATTATTGGTATTTGACAATTTACTTGGTAATCTTTTGGGAGCAATGGTAGAGGGCCCAAATTCTGTGGCTCAAATGTGGCTCAAATAGCCAAAACGACGTCGTTTTGAGTACAAAACAACATCAAAATGGCCAAAACGACGTCGTTTTGGCCATTTGAGCCACATTTGAGCCACAGAATTAGGGCCCCCAAACATTTTTCATCTTTTGGTTATGTTGAGTTGGATTGTTATCTAAAAAAAAATGTTGACAAGTTATTGTATTATACTTAAAATTTATAAAAGTTTAAACCGTCAATCTAATTCGCATTCATTCGCCAATCCGCTTAATCCACATCTGCCAATTCGGCGAGCAGATGCAGATTGATTTTTTTCAATCTACCAATCTGACAAATGAACAGTGAATTAGAGGTTTTCGGCCGTAACCGAACTACGAACACCCCTACTAACTACTAGAAATCAGCATTTTTTATTTTTTCTCGCTATTTTGCCTAATAAATCATAAGTAGAAATTGTACTAAACAAACTTTTAAAATAAAAAATTAGAAAATTCATTTTATTTCTTTATAATTTGGCTATATGACACATTTTATCTTTTTGTTATTTAAAAATAGCCGAAGGCCCATATGGATTATAGTAAAATACTAACTCGTTAATTTATTAACATTTATTTTTAAGCTATTAGTCCATTATTGTCACTATAATCAATAGGAAAAAGCGTGGTCGAATTGGAGGGGACTTGAATGGTCTGAATAGGTGTTGGCCTGTCGGCCGCCCAAATGATCGGTCAGACGTTTGCCCGGACAACCGGGTGAAAGATTGTCTACCGCGGTTGTCACCTTTGTTGACGGCGGCTGTCAGTCTCTTCGCTGGACGACCGGCAAGGTGAATTTCGAGCTATTCGAGCCAACCTCATATTCGGGCTACCAAGCATTGCTCTAATCAATATCATCACTATCATCAATAAGCAAACCTTTAAACATCTTTTATAATTGACACAATCTTCTGCTTTTCGAGCAGAAACAATTTGCTTAGCTTCACATATGCCGACCTAGGGTATTATTTTTAATGTTGGAAAACGATTTTATAAAAATCTTATTTTTTTCTAATTTTAAGTCAAAATTAAGGTGGGATTCATGCATTATTTTTTGTGGAAAGTTTTGGACAAAGTGAGTTGGATCCAAAATTCATTATGCGTGCGCTGTTGCCGTCGGACGGGACTGAGTATGGGTGTGGGTCGCTCCATCTATATTTTTAGACAAAAACACATTTAAATTTTTTGCGCGAATTTTCAAAATTCAAATTGTTTGCGCCAAAATTTGATATTTGAATTTTCAAATTCAAATTTTTCTAGTCGCTTGCCTTTTGATTGATCATACCCTTCCAGCCATCTCTGAACAGCCATAAAGGCCTCCCGAACAAGTACTATTTTGTCTATAAATAGCCTGATCCATTTCCTCAGATCCTCATTTCAAATCATTCCAATTTCTTTTCCATTTTCATTTCTTCATTTTCTGTGTTTTTCACTCTCCTCTGCTTATTCATATTTCTTGCAAGTTAGAATTAGAAAGAGTTTGTGAGATAGAAAGAGTTCAACACTAGTTTGATTCGCTAGGCTTGAAGTTGTTGTGTTGCATTTCCAAGTATTGTTGTTATATTCTAAGAAGTAGACGACGGTAAATCTCGAAGTACCGATGCAAAGGCGAAATATCTTTTAAGGAGATTGTGTCTAACACAAGTCTCGACTTAAAGTTTTCTATTTGTTCAGAGTGAATAATTTTTGGGAAATTTTCAAAAAAAAAAAATGAGGATTTGAGCCTTATAATAAAATAAACTATGAGTTTTTAATGTTATTAATTAAAATCATAAACTTTTAATTTGTTTTCAATATAATCTATTTACCTGTTTTCCTTAAGTAAAATCAATTAAAAAAGATATTTTAATTATTAAACTCAGTAAAAACTATAATTGGACATTTTAATTATTAAAATATTATTTTTTCATAGATTTTATTTAATGAAAATAAATAAATGATTTAAATTAAAATTGATAAAATTAAAAATATAGAGTTTATTTTGTTATTCTAAAAAGAAAAAGAAAAAGAGTTAGGTCTTAGAATTTGCGGCCCAAAATCTACTTAAAAATGAATATATATATAGCAAAGTTTTGAAACTTGGACCGGACCGGCCAGTTGAACCGATGACCAGTTGAGGTTCTGGTCCGGTCAACCTCCTTAACCCGTTCAATGACAAAAATCGGTGATTTTAAAGAGAATCGGATGAACTGGCGGTTTAACCGTCGGACTGGTCGACCGAGTTGCTGGTCAATTAAACCGAGACGGTTTCATTATGATGTATATATATATATATATAAATATCAGATCTTTCTTTGCCTTCTCGTTTTTGTATCTCGATCTAGGACTTTTTCATTTCGATCGACAACTCTATCTCTCTCGGTAGCTTTATTTCTCTCTTTAGCAGCCGTCAATCATCATCACCACACACCATTAACCAATCTAAACTTTACACAGTTCATCACCAAAGTCGCTGCCAAAGAATCTCAACCTCAAGGTATTACTTTTCTGTAATTTGTAACACCGTTGCATGTATCAAAGGGTTTGATTTGGTTTCAAAGGGTTTCCAATATATATACATGAGAGGGAGATTTCATGATCTGGCTTTGGGCCGTGGTGATGATTGAGCTAAAGTTGGTTCGAGCATGTTTGGGGCGAGTTGGGTTGGGCCAATCTAGGGGCAGTGCGCTCGGTTAAAGCCCATTTCAGATTTGACCGGGATAATTTCTCTAGGAGCCCGGTTCGCGTGGTTGATCGTTGAGATCAACAGGTAAGATCCTCTACAGACCGGCTTAACTGAGCAAGAGCTCGGTCATAATGGAGGGCCGATAAACTCGGTCATAACGGAGCTCAGCTCGGAGCATTGATTTTGTCGGAAGTAGTACGGTTGTAGGAAGATGGGGCAGCACCGCCGGGCTATCCGTTCGTGCCAATGCCGTTTGGCAGTTTGGTTAGGTGGTGTTTAGCTGTATTTGCGCTGACACGTGGGAAAGTGAGACAGGAGAACAGGTCCATGCGTCAAAAGGCGAATGGATACAGAGAAGCGCGTAGAAAAGTATAAAAACGTGACTGCATACCCCATGCTGGGGATAGAACATCTTCTGGTGAGAGAAACACAAACACATGGTTTTCTCTCTCTTCTCTCTCGCTGAGTGTGTGCTGACTTGACCGTCGGAGGGGTTTTTCGGCAATGCACCACCGGGGTAGCTCACCTTCGTTGTGTTCACAAGTTGATCAGAGAAAGGCACAGCTTGGACGCGAGGAGTACGGGAGGTTACGGATATTTGGCCCCCATAAATTGGCGCCGTTTGTGGGAAGTAAAAGCAGACACGACCTTGCCCTCCAAGCTCATCGGACCACCTTCCATGGCAAACAATGACAAAGTACTATTGTCTGCCATCGACGATATTACCCCAGAGTCAGTCCGACAGAGAGACAGACTCCCCGCCGTTTCGAACATGGCGGGCCTAGAAACCTCACCATGAGGACTTTCCAAAGATGCGCAAGATAAGCGCGCCAGAGCACTAATCACTCGTGGAGTCCAGACGGATACCGGCGGCGAAGAGAGTCGCACGCTCAATGCCTAGAGCACAAATTGAGGGACCAAGACGCCGTCATCCGGAGAATAGTGGTGGAGATAAAAGCTCTCAAGCGGCAAGTCAAAGAGAAGGGTGTTGCTGGAGTGGGTGACCACAGTGAGCACACCCAACCCCGTCGCTCAGGCAGCCAGAACCAGTGACACACGCCCTCTCTTTCCATCACTAAAAGCTATGGGGTTGGAGACTCAGACCCGCCTGTAGAGAAGTCTTGTGCGCAAGATAGTAGTTACCATCTCTCACGTCCGCCGACGACATCGAGATATTCCTACTTTGCCCGTTCAGAGGACTTGAGGGACGTCTTGAAAGAACGAGCGCGCCAACAGGGAGGTTCAAAGGGTGTCGGCACTCTAGCGATTATCCTACGGAGGTCGCGCCAATGAAGAAGTCATAATGCCGTCACCCCGCTCAGTCGTGCCTGCCCCTTTGGACAAAGATTTAGTAAGGTTGAGCGCCACCCCCTTCTCCTTTGAGATAGAGACCACACCGCTCCCATCGGGCTTTCACCAGCCCAAATTTACGCTTTATGACGAAAAAATCGATTCGTATATGCATGTAAGCCACTTCCAGCAGGTTATGG